ATGGTATCGAGTATCGAATATTTTCCTTAGTATCGGTTTCGAGTTGAAAAGTTTAGTATCGTGACAACCCTACTACAGACTGCTTCATGCAGCTTCTGTTCTCCATATTTCTGTTGTTCAGATCTTAATGTAGATTTCTGGACTTTATTTGTAGGGGGGTCTCTGAGAACATGTCCTGCAAGCACAGATCATCACTCACTGGCAGTGGGGTTGCTAAGCAACAGAGGAGACTTTGATGGTATGTTTACCAAAGTCTAAAGAAGGTGGCGCAGAAACCTGAAACAGACTGAGGTCTGGGCCGAGGAGGGAAAGGAACTGGACCCAATATGGCAGCTGGGAATAGACTCCAAGTCAGCCAATGTTTAAAGCACATCAGCCATGATGGTTCAGCTGGAGGCGTTCGGCGGCTCAGCAGGAGATGAACCCGCAGCATCAGTAGACAGGCTGAGAATGATGTTCTGTGGAAGGGCGGGCCCACGTGGCGTCAAACTCTCATCTCTGCCAAATAACGCTTCTCACAGCTTTTTCACCACCATTTCATAATAACTTGATAAATGACATAAATTGAGCAACGAGATTGAAGCAGTGAAACAATGAAAATAGTTAAAGTGTTTCTGCTGCAGCTATCAGAGTTTACCAGGAGCAGATAAATCGACCTGCAGAGCAATATTATACAGCAACGTTTACCGTCACCACAGAAACTTTTATTTTACCATCTAAACCACAGAAACTTTCATTTTACCATCTAAACCACAGAAACTTTTATTTTACCATCTAAACCACAGAAACTTTCATTTTACCATCTAAACCACAGAAACTTTTATTTTACCATCTAAACCACAGAAACTCACGGTAAGATTTTCAGACCCGTTTATTGAAATGAACGCATCACATTCATTGGGTGCAGATGTTTCCCTCTGGCTGGAACGCTGCAGGACGTTACAGTAACCTTCTTCCTGCAGGCTGCAGCTTTTTCTTCCCTTCTTTATAATCCTACATTAAGGCACCTAAAGGGCGGGACGTAGACATTCAACCTGACCTGCTCTGTCTGACCCTCCTCATTATCAGGAGGATCACTACTTTATCTGTCCTCCTGAACTCTGATCATGGGAAAGTTTTCCATTTTAATGTTTCATCGTTTCGGTCCTGCTCACCATAAATGCGATGTGCGTCTCCAAACTGACTCTTTCCTCGAGAGATGAACAGATTTTATGTCATATTTTCCCCCAAAGCGGATGTTTTATTCTGTAACCGCGTCTCTCTTCCAGTCAGACACACTAACTGCTGCTGAAATAGACCTGGGCTCTGTCTCAGTCGGAGCTACGCTGCCCCCTGCTGGAAATCAGCCCCATTGACTTTCACTGAGAGCTAAACGCCACCATCGCCACGGAACAGACACAAATGGGATCAGGTGTGTCCCGGCTGCAACTTAACGCCTTATAGTAACGGAGTCGACGTAACCAGTAATGTCGTCAATCAATTAGCAGTGTGGTGGTCTGCGTTCTGGCTTAGCAGTCTACAGACCAGACAGCTGAGGCTTCTGGTCACAGATTATACCTTAGAGGAGAAGCTAACCTGCAGACGCTCCTTCCTGCTGATCTCCAGGTGTCTGCTGGCAGGTATGCGCTCCCAGGTGGGACCTTTTTCTCCTCTTTTCCCTGTCTGACCTACTTTTCCTGTCTTTGGTTTTCCTTCTTCTCATCCTATCCCTGGCCACAGCACTGTCCCCTACTCTGTCTTCTGGAATAAAGAAGGATGTTTGACATTCTCTGATGGAAGGACTCAGATTTCCTCTCCCATTAAAGCCCACCGGTTCCTCTGGTTCTTACCTCCTAAGGCCTTGCAGGTCTCTGGGGTGTTTGAGATGTCCAGCAGAGAGCCGCTGGACAGGGAGTGCTCTGCTGATGGTCTTTTGCGTGGCGGGAAGGGAGACATTCCAGTTTCCTTGGTGAGCTGAGCAAGAGTGTCCCTGAGACGCCGGCGCTTGCGGTTACTGCTGGGCGTGGCGAGGGACAGCAGGGAGACGGCTTTCTTCATGGCGGGGCTGTCGTTCTGTTGGCCAAAGATGAAGGAATCCAGAAGATTTAATAAAGAGGCTGAGCAGTTTACCTCTGAATATGATGCATGTTAGAGCATATCGGTTAAACATCACTCACCTTTTCATACAGGTACATGGACTCATCAGCTCGCGCGTCCATCTGAATGCTTCCCCAGAACCACTGGAACATGAGAGACACAGTTACTGGGACATGCATTGTCCTCCCAGTGAAACCAGCAGCTGAACAGGCTGGTTTTCATCATCTGAGCCACAGCAACCAGAAGGAGAAAAGTCTGGAAACATCTCAGACATAAAATGTTCCTGTGTTCATCTTATGAGGAGACTTTTTATTGTCCTGCATAAATAAAGATCATTTAGTTTGATCCTTTGTTAATTTTGCAGATGTTCCTTCAAACATGCAGAACTCACCTCCTGTTTGACCACATAGAGCGCCTTAGAAGGAGGTGCAGGGAGGTCCTTCACCGAGTTCTCCTCCACCACCATGTGAGTGCACTGCTCATCTCCCAGCTCAGCATGTCCTCCACCTTAACAGGGCAGAGAGGAAAGCATCCATGGGTTCAGGAGGAGGGAAGACAGACCTCAGCTGCCTGAAGGTTAAATGATTCAAATCATAAAATCCACCGACTGATGGACGCCATCTGAGCCATGGAGGTCACCGCCACATTTTCACTGAGAGCTTTTCAAACTGCTCAGTGCTGCCCCAGGAGGCCCAACGCTGCTATGGTTGCTATTTTCTACTGGTTGCCATGGTACCCGCTGGTAACCGTTAAATAGAGCCAGGCTGTCGCAGCACGCCATCCCGCCGCCTCAGCAGCAACTTCAAGCTAACGGCTTGAAGTTCGCTGGACTCAGCCGCCGGAGTCAGGGATGAAACGGCTCATCATGGCGTCAGAACCCGCCGTCCTCTGCTCGCCGTCTGGGACTCAATCAGAGCGAGTCTGATTTGGTGTCAGCTGATCAGCAGCCTGTTGATTTTTCTATTCACTGCTTTTTCTTAATCCTACAAGCGGTAACCTGCTTCACACGATGAAGAAGTGAAGGAGATGAACGTTTATTATTATTTATTAAGATCCCCATTAATGATCCTGGAGTCCCGATATAAAAGGATTTAACCAGGAACCATCGAAGCCGACTTCATCCTGAGTGATGAACGGATCAGCCTGCAGCTCTGCAGAGGGAACAGAACGTCCACCCGGCATTACCTGAACACCAGGTGTTCACCAGCCCTTTGCCAGGCTGTTCGCCAGGCCCTTCGACAGGCCTTCGCCAGGCCTTCGCCAGGCCATTGCCAGCCGTTCGCCAGGCCTTCGGTCTAAAGGACACTGAGAAACAGGCAGGCCAGAGAAAAGGCCAAAAAGCTGTCCTCCAAAACCAATCGCTCCATTCAAAGTTTATTTTTAGCTTCTATTTAGTGACAAAGTTTAAACACATGAAGATCAATCATTCCTGGAAAAGAGGAACTAAGGGATAAAAGCATCAGGAGTTAAATTACAAACCGTGTTTCAGAGTCCTCTCCTGCATGTTGGCCTTTTCTTCCTCTGAGAAACCCAAAAAGCAGAGGACACAGTTCTGGAAGGGCGGCACTTTGAACTCTGATCTGAAATCCTCCTGGCTGGCGTGGAAATGCCTTTAGAAAGAGGAAGAGAGAAGCAGCGTGACATCATCAGCATGGCTTTAAAACAGCAATCAGCTGATTTAGTCATGATCCAACATCTGCCATCGCTTTAAAACGGCTGGATGGAGAAAAGGAGCAGAGTTTTTAAAACTAGCTTCCCAGCAGGTGAATATCCAGAACTTCAGGGTCCAAAGGCAGAGAGCTGCTCCACATGTCCGTCACTGGATCAGAACCAGCAGACAGAATGAAAACAATCAGTGTTTTACTCACACATCGTCTCTTCTCTCCCACGCCTCCTCAATCCAAGATGGACAGACGATGGGCGTCCCCAGACACACCGCCAGCTGAGACAGAACGGCAAAGAAAGACAGACTTTAGGGACCAGCAGGTGATGGAAGGAGACTAGGAGGAGAAGTGAGGATCTGGGATGTCAGTACCAGACCCAGACGTCTTTCGTTACCTTTACTGCTGAAACTGGTTGAGCCGTTTAACTTTTAATGCTCAGGAAAATGTCTCTAAAAGCTTTTTATGAAAACCTTAAATGTTGTGGATTATTTTTCTAAGGCTAAAGAAGGAATAACAACGACAGGACAGTCGCTAAAGTTAAGGTTGCTGGATTTAATACAGGTGACCTTCTGTTGATGTGAAGCATCATCGTTTGCTATAATGAGCAGAGGAAGACGTGGAAGATTTCCATCTTTAACCAAATGAATCATCCAGATGAGCAGGAATGTACCGACCCTGTATTTCTCTCCATTAGTGGAGCAGGCAACCAGATGAGTGACCTTGGTGCTAAAGTCTTTCCGGATTGTTCCGCCCATATGATGAACCAAATTCACCAGTTTTCTCTGAAAGCAAAAGGAGGACAAAAACATGAGGAGAGAAACATGACGGTTGATCCCATCTGGGATGATCCCAGGAATGTTTGGAGGATGAAAACGGTTCTCACCATTTGCTCCTTGTTCCTGAAGCCAGTGAAGCACAGCGTCAGGGTCAGCATGGCCGTGCAGTAAATGGGACGGCATGAGAAATGGAGGGGCTGCAGAAAATAAAGGGGAAAATTCAGCTGATGAAGCCTCTGAATTAAACACTTTTAGCAGTGAATGCTAACAGGAGTCAGGCTCACGGCTCTCAGTGCTTCCTGTAAAATCATCTCAGAGCTTTGAACCATTCTAGTAATTCTATTTCTTTATCAGCAAACAGCTATTTGACTGGATTGATCTGAGCAGCACCCCCACCCTGACCTGGAAAATTGTTTTTACGTTTTTGTCGGCGTCTGATACGCCGCTCACATCGGGAGAAAAACGTGTTTAAAGCCGGGAACAGTGGGCTTTGTTCGGCTCTGTTCGACATGCTGTGGGAACACCAGAGCCTGGTCGACCCACTAAATTACGTGATACCATTGAACGCATCGTACGGACGCCAGTCGCTTCTGATCCAACAAGCAGAAACATGATAAACATGGAGCAGCTTTGGTGAGACGGATTCAGACGGAAACAATAAAGCACACCGACTACACCCTGGCTTCCTGCAATGTTGTTCTCCGTTGTTTACTCTCCTGATTTCTCTCCTAGCATGATGATGTCACCAGAAGCATTGGGGGACAGACGCAGCACTGCTGATGCAGAGCGCTATGATCACTCCTCTGAAACAGTTTATTAACGCCTAAATTAACTTCAAATGTAGAAACTTGCCGGCAGAATATCTTGGCTTTTATTATCCTGCTGCCTGCAGTTTGGATTACGTATGTGAAAAACACCTTCCAGCCGGTCGCCTCCGCCGCAGCAGACCGCTTACGGTCGCTTCGCGGTCTGGAAGGTGTTTTCATGTATGTAATTTTATTTATTTTAGTGTAACTTTCAGACCTTCTATTTCACTGCTTGCTACGCGGCTGTGGGGAGAACTTCAAACCACATGGCAAGAAATGCATCAGAGAAGATCTGCTGCACCTTTAACAGGTCAGAATAAGTCTGGAGAGAGATGAAAGAGAAAGGATGGAAGGAAGGAGGAGCCAAAACAGAGGGAAGGAAAGGAGGGAAGGAAGGAGGAGCCAAAACGGAGGGAAGGAAAGGAGGGAAGGAAGGAGGAGCCAAAATAGAGGGAAGGAAAGGAGGGAAGGAAGGAGGAGCCAAAATAGAGGGAAGGAAAGGAGCAGCCCTTTCTGGGATGAGGCAAAGACGGAGGATGAGGCAAAGACGGAGGATGAGGCAAAGACGGAGGATGAGGCAAAGACGGAGGATGAGGCAAAGACGGAGGATG